CCAGCCCAGTCCTTTCAATGTGAAAATTAACTGAAGCCCAGACAGGCGAAGTTAGACTAGAATCTGCTTTGACTGGCTTCTTGTGAGTGCTCTTACTCTACACTGGGCTGCTAGAACCCCTCAAGATTGAAAGGTACCCTATTCAGGGACATTCCTGTACTTGTAGAAATGGTTCCAGGCTCCCAGCTGATGAACAAAAATGCTAAGCATTGTGTTATAATCTGTTAAACCATATTACTAATTTAAGCTTTGCGGTGCGATAAGTCACAGATGAAGCTACAGAACTTCTTCGTTTATCTAAAGGGTGATTATTGATAGACATACCCTAGCCTGTACTGCCCCGCCAGTTTTGGAGAGGGGTTCAGAGCACCAGAGAAGATGCTGTGAGTTTGCTGGCAAATGAAGACTAGCTGACAAAATGTACCCATACCCACAAGTGCAAGAAAATTATGGTTATGTTTTTGAGGATATAATATTCCTGATGTTGTCAGTATTTACTTCTTTCACCTGTCCTGCTCTTTTATACCACAGATAGTCTTGTGAAACACCTGTCACAGGAAGTAGAGCCATGAGTGGCAGCTGACAAACTGGCTGAGGGTGTGGGACACCTGGGCTATGTCAGGAAGACAAACCTTAAGTTTAGTTTGGCACAGCTGGGGCTAGAACTCGGTATGACAGGGTTCCCTAACAAAAGTTGTATGTACTGAAAATGAAAGCTATGTCTGAGGCAAAGATTAATCGGGGAGGGGCACATAAAAATGCCAAAATTGGAATCCATCTATAGCTGACAGAAAAGGTAAATTGGAGGCAAAGCCAAGCAAAGCTAAACAAGAATCAGAATACCTGAGGCTGCTTGTTGATTCAAAAAGGTGAGGATAAACAGACCTCTGAGGAGAGCAGAGAAAAAGCCACGGCACAGACTAAAGACGTCAGGGATGCAGCCGTGAGGCTAACCCAGACACACTGACCTGAGTTGGATTTTCAAACAACATTCTATACTGAGCTTGTTTCTTCAGGTGTGAAGAATGCTCCCAATCTGAGTGACGAGCAGCAGGTCACCGTTTTTAGAAAATGAAAGACGTTACAAACTGTGTATCCTTAGTCTCTTAAACTCCAAACCAACTGCCTATCTACCTAGTGCGTTTCTCACGGGCCCCCAAAAAGCTGCCAGGCTGTAGTTTCATGTACATCCATGTACTTCTGCATTTGTCTGCCTCACCTTTCCCACCATTTTCATTTGTTCACTTTCAAAATGATTGTTTAAAATACTATTTCTTCTTTATGGGAAATAATAACCAGTTAGTGGGCTGAGCAAGTACCACCTGCTAACTTAATATGGTACAGCGATACGGTTGATGACGTAATTTGGATGTTGTTGTTAGATACTGTAGAGTTGATTTCGACTCAAAGAGTGACCCCGTGTGACAGAGTAGAACTGTCACATCGGGTTTCCTAGGCTGTAATCTTTATGGGAGCCAGTTGCCAGGTATTTCTCCTGTGGAGCTGCTGGGTGGGTTTGAACTGCCAACCTTTTGGCTCAGTTAGCTGCTGAGCACTTAACCATTGCACCACCAGGGCTCCTTGTAATTTGGTTAGGAGGCTTTGAAGCACCATGAATTTTATAAATGAATAATCCCAGGAGAAAATAGTTTATTTCACATTCTTACTTCCTCAAACAAATTTACATACAAGAGATACTGTTGTTGCTGAATTGTACATGTAAAAATTGTTGAATTGGCAAATGTTTTGTTATATGTATTTTTATCACATGCACACACACAAAAGATATTATTGTTAATTTCTGACATATACTAAATAGTGAGACCATAAATTCACTTTTTATCAGTCATAATTCAGAACACCTTATCTACTAATGGAATTTAAATGAAACATGAAAATACTATATTGAAATACTTATATGATATATAATTTGTTTCTTTTTAATATGAACACGGAGCTTGCTTTTTAAAAATGATAGTTTCCAGGGCTCTTAGGAGGAATGGCTGATGCTAGGGCTGGGGCAGGGAAAACACAAGATGAGTCTTGGAGCATCTTGTAGTGTCAGAAAGCAAGGAAGTGTCAAAAAACAAACAAAAAGGACACAAGATTGAACCTGAAAGAAGTCCTAATGACCAAATCAGATAATCTGAGCAACACAATAAATAATGAGAGTATTGGATTACAATTCAAAGAATAAATAACTATCCATGAGCCCATCCTGATTGTTATGGATTGAATTGTGTCCCCCCAAAATGTGTGTCAACATGGCTAGGTTGTGATTCCCAGTATTGTGTGATTGTCCTCCATTTTGTCATTTGATGTGATTTTCGTATGTGTTGTAAATCTTACCTCTATGATGTTAATGAGGCAGGATTAGAGGCAGTTATGTTAATGAGGCGGGACTCAATCTACAGGATTAGGTTATATCTTGAGTCAATCTTTTTTGAGAAATAAAAGAGAGATGTGAGCAGAGAGGAAGGGGACCTCCTACCACTAAGAAGAGCCAGGAACAGAGCACATCCTGTGGACCTGGAGTCCCTGCACTGAGAAGCTCCTAGACCAGGGGAAGATTGATGACAAGGACCTTCCCCCAGAGCTGACAGAGAAAGAAAGTATTCTCCAGGAGCTAGTGCCCTGAATTCGGACATCTAGCCTCCTAGACTATATGAGAATAAATCTCGATTTGTTAAAGCCATCCACTTGTGGTATTTCTGTTATAGCAGTACTAGATAACTAAGACACTGATATAAATAAATTACTGAATAAATACATAAATGGGGGAGGAAGCGCAAATCTTTCTTACAGAATTTCAAATAGTGTACAGTGAAACCTGTGAGAACCAGAACTCGACAGGACTGCCTTGTTTTTTTGGGTCTCAAAAGTTTTCTGCCTTTGACAGGGTGCAGTCTTACCACTTTTCTATCACTAGTTTCAGTCGAAAATATTTGAGTTTTCCTTCTCTGACAGGTTTCCACCTTACACAGGTAGCTTTTACAGGTTTTACTTAGTAGATCTTCCCCTTCCAGGAAGTGGCACTTAATTCTCCTCCCCTTGAGTGTGGGTTCAACTGAGTGAGTCATTACTAACGAGTAGAGAATGGAAGGTGGAAAAGAGTAACTTTACAGTGGAGAAACTTGCCAGACACCACCTTAACCAAGTATCAAAGCTCATCATCCTAAATCATGTTGATGTCATGTTCCCACTGAGTTTGATGAGAAGGCTCTTCACTTCTGTGGTATTCTTTCCAAAAATCTATAACCTCAGCCTAGTCAGGAAAAAGTAGCAGATGAACCCAGATAGAGGGACATTTTACAAAGTATCTGACCAGTATTCTTCAAACATTTCAAGGTCATAAAAAACAAGGAAAGACTGAGAAACCACCATAGATTTGGAGGAAATTAAGGAGACATAACAACTAAATACAATGTGGTATTTTGGAGTGGATCCTGGTATAGAAAAAGGAAATTACTGGGGAAAAATTTGAGTAAAGTCTAGTTTGTTGTTGTTGTGTTCCTACTTATAACAACTCAGTAGGACAGAGTAGAACTGTCCCATAGAGTTTCCAGGGCAGATCGCCCAGGTGTTTTCTCCTGCAGAGCCACTGGTGGGTTCAAACCACCTGCCTTTTGGTTACCAGCCGAGTGCTTAACCATTGCACCACCAGTGCTCCTTAAGTCTAGTTTAGTTAATTGTAAATCTAAAATTATTCCAAAATAAAAAGTTAAAAAAATTATGATTCAAAATTCAAAGTGCTATAAATAAAAATACATCTTAAGATATTTTTAACATTTCCAATAGTCATTTTTTCACTATTTATTTACCACTTACTATGTACCAGATGCTGATAGACATAGGTGTTTAAATCCGAGGTGGTCCCTACTTGCATGGAACTTAGGGTCTAGTGCAGGAGAGGCAATAAACAAGTCAACAAGCCAATGAAAATATAATTACAAAATCAGGATCGATTTTGTGAAGGAAATAAACAAGATCAATAAGATCACCAGTAGTTGTTTGCTTTCTTTGTGATTATTTGAATTATTTTTTCAATGAACATGTATTCTGTGTCAGAAAAAGCTATTTCCCAAACCTAAGTGCCCTTTTCACAAAACCTTAGCAAACTGTCTAGTTTCAGTGATTCATTTTATACTGAAGGAGCCATTATTCCACGTTGCACTCAGTAGTTTTTGCCTACATGTAATATTGTTGTAGGGAGAAGGTAAATCAACGTCTCCCTGATATCCCTAAGCTCTTTGTACCTGTAGCAAAATAGAGAAACAGAAACCATTCCATGAGGGAGAAATAGGGATAGTTGAGGCAAAGCTGGAGCTAGGAGAGTTTTTCTGATTCTTTGACCAATGCCATTTTACTTCACCAGACTGCTTCCTTTGGATTATTATTGACAGATGCTTTAGACAGCTAATTATGAGAGCTTGCTAGCCTGAATAATGACTCAACTTAACGCTGATTCCCCAAAACAAGGATCACCCTACTCACAACCTATTCTCAATATCAGATATTAAAAGAACTAAGAAACCCTTCTTTTGAAAAGTATTCTTCTAAGCTAAATAATGCCCAGTGAAATATTACATTTTTGGGGAACTTGACAATGATAAATGATGTTGAAAACTAGGGGTAACAAACGAAGAAGCTATATCTGCTTATCGATTCTCATATGCCCTGGAAACAGCATAAAAAATAGCCCGTACTTATACAGTGGTCCTTTTGAGTCATGCATTATGGAAGTTTGATTTGATTCAAGCTAAATATTTCTACGTCTTATGGGTTTCAGCAGTTGGAATGTTGACCATCTATAGTTTAATTAACTATATGTATAATTATGTATAGTTATATAGAGCACATATGTATGTAACTCCAGTTTTGAGTTTTAATAGTGTGTTGGAGTGTGCAGTTCAGTGTAATCACATTTAAAAATTATTTTGTGCCCCCCCAAAAGAAGCTTTCATTGATTCCTTCTATTTTTTTCTGTTTTTTCCCCCCAGAAAATATTCCTGAGAAAGATCTTCATGGAAGACTTTATATCAACCGTGTTTTTCATATCAGCGCTGAGAGAATGTTTGAATTGCTCTTCACCAGTTCATGCTTTATGCAGAGATTTGCCAGTTCTAGAAATATATTAGGTGGGCTCTTTTGTTATTATCTAATGATAAATTTGGGAGAACTTTATTATCCTTAGTGAGGTATACTGATTTATGTTGTCAGGGAAAAGATAAACAAAATTAGACATGTTTTGATTTTATTATGGTGATATATAAGCTGATGTTTAAATGTTTTGGCTAAATTCACATATAAATAGTATAATTGTTTGATTAGTCAGATCCTGCCTACGATTACTTTATTGAATCAGAGTACTGACCCTTGAAAACTACATTTATTCACTGAGTTCAGAAGGGCCCTGTGGCACGATGGGGTGCTGGTAGATGCTGTTGAGTGTAAACTGGTACAGCCACTTTGCAGGATTGTTTGGCAGGATCTGCTACAGCTGAATGTATGCATTCTCTGTGAGTGTGAACAAGTACACTCCTGGGTGCATACCCATCACGGATGTGTACACATGTGCACTGAGTAACATACTGTAGTGTTCATAGCAGCATTATTTATAAGAGCCAGTAACTCAGAATGGCCCAAAAGTTCATCAGTAATAGAATGGATAAACAAATTGTGTATGTTCACACAGAAGAGTATTCTATAGCAATGAAAGAAAAAAAAAAACCAAACTACTGCTACTTATAACAATATGAATACATTTCACAGATGTATGTTAAGCAAAAGAAGCCAGACATAGTATACGTGCATACTATATGATTCCATTGTATAAAGTTCAAAAACAGGCAAATCTAATTTGTGGAGATAGAGTCAGAATAGCGTGGTTACTGCTGTGGAGAGTGGGGTGAGTGAAGACGGGAGGAGCTTCTGGGAGGCTAGTGAAGTTCTGCATCGAGAGCTAAGTGGTGTATTCTGGTGTGTCTCCTTTGTGAAAATTCAGGGAGCTGTACACTTGAGATTGCAGTGTTTGTGCTATGGGAAAAGTACAAAATAGTCCGCTTAGGAAATTCATTATAAGGAGGCCTTCAATGGTTGTGTGTTAGAAGTTTCTGTTTTGCTGAATGTCTCAAATACAGTTATAGTTAGTTTGAAACTCAATTTATCGTAGTATATCAAGGTACTGTATACTTTGGGAGCATATAGTTTGGCTTGCTGTGTAAAATTAAAAGACAGTAGTAACAGATTCTTATCAGGTGAGTCATTTGACACAAGTCAAAGAGAAAGTTACTCTGTGGTCAATTTAAATGTAGTTTACAGGTCAGCCATTTTATTAACCACTAGATATTATTCTTTATTTGCAGATTTTACATAAACATAGTTATATATTCATAAATTATATTGTTGATATGGATTCTAGTTACAAAAAAAACACTACTTATTATTGAGTAGAGTAGCAGAAAAATTTCTAGTTGATAGCTATTAATTGAATTGTTTATATTAAAAGTTTTATAATTTTAAAAGGCCATTTATCTTATTCCGATCTTCAGAGTTTAAAGATGTGGAAGATCCAAGAGGGAAATCTTCCTCTTCACTTTGTAGCTTATATTAACTTTGTATATCTGTTCTGAATCTATTTTGCATTTTCTTGCTATTTATTCTTCACCTGGAGACTTCCTTTTCCAGGGGACTTGGATACGTTATTTCCCTTTGCTAAGATGATGCCCCTTGATGCAGTGCCATTTCTGTGGCTGAAAAGGCCCAGGAGGGGCTAGTGTGTCATTCCGTGCCGGTACTAGATGAAGCTTGTTGTTTGGTCCACAGCTGCATTTGTTGTCTGATATCACATCTGGCTTCAATATGGATGTGGGTGACTATATCTGATGTTATAACTGGCTTTGGGAAGCAAAAGCTTTTGGCTAATTCCAAATCTAAACAGGTATAGGCATGTTGCTGTTCAGACCTAGAAGTAGTCAGAAGCTTTGCCCAAAAGAGCAGATCTGTTCATGATTGCACACCATATTGCTATCCTCTGAACTTGCTCTTTGGTAATCAAATTTGTATTTCTAGAGAATAAGTGGGGCCCTGGTGGCGCAGTGGTTAATAGCTTGGCTGCTAACCAAGAGGTCAGCAGTTCGAATCCACCAGCTGCTCCTTGGAAACCCTATAATTTAAAGAGAAACTTTTGTATAATTGATTGATTGTGGATTTCATCCAATTCCAGCATTAAAATGGCTATTGCTGGATCGATCTTTTTATTATTATTTTTTAATTAGGGAACTTTTAAATAGGTATTCTTTTTAATCTTTAAGTTCTATGACACTACTTTTGTAATTAAAGGCTCAGTTTTAGTCTTTTTACCCAACTTTTTAACTTTGACAAAATCTAAACCTCAGAAAAATTGCAGAAATAGTATAATGAAACCCATATACCTTCACCTAGATTCACCAGTTTTAAAACTCTGTCATATCAAAGATTCTTTGCCCATTTTTTAATAGGATTATTTGTCTTTTTGTTGTAGAGGTGTTGGATTTTCTTGTAGATTATGGAGATTAGACCTTTGTCTGACTTGTACTGTCCAAAAATTTTTTCCCAGTCTGTAGGTTCTCTGTTCTCTTTTGGTGAAGTCTTTTGAAGAGCATAGGTGTTTGATTTTTAGAAGATCCCACTTATCTAGCTTATCTATTGGGGTTTGTGCGTTGATGGTTATGGTTTGTATCCTGTTATGCCGTGTATTAAGGCCTGAAGTGTTGGTCCTATTTTTTCTTCTATGAACTTTATAGTTTTAGGCTTTATATTCAGGTCTTTGATCCATTTTGAATTAGTTTTTGTATACGGTGTGAGGTATGGGTCCTGTTTCATTTTTTTTGCAGATGGATATCCAGTTTTGCCAGCACCATTTGTTAAAAAGACTGTCTTTTCCTCATTTGATGGACTTTGGGCCCTTGTCCAAGATCAGGTGACCGTAGGTGGATGGATTTACATCTGGGTTCTCAATTCTGTTCCATTGGTCAATGTATCTGTCGTTGTACCAGTACCAGGCTGTTTTGACTACTGTAGCTGTATAGTAGGTTCTCAAGTCAGGTAGTGTGAGTCCTCCAGCTTTATCCTTCTTCTTCAGTAGTGCTTTACTTATTCAGGGCTTCTTCCCTTTCCATATAAAGTGAATGATTAGTTTTTCCATCTCTTTGAAGAATGTTGTTGGTATTTGGATCGGGTTTGCGTTGTGTTTGTAAATTGCTTTGGGTAGAATTGTCATTTTCACAATATTGAGTCTGCCTATCCATGAGCATGGTATGTTTTTCCATTTATGTAGATCCCTTTGGGTTTCATGCAGTAGTGTTTTGTAGTTTTCTTTATATAGGTCTTTTACATCCCTGGTCAGATTTATTCCTAAGTATTTTATCTTTTTAGGGGCTATTGAAAATGGTATTGTTTTCCTGATTTCGTTTTCATCGTTCTCCTTATTGGTGTATAGGAATCCAACTGATTTTTGAATGTTTATCTTGTATCCTGCTACTCTGCTGAATCTATTAGTTCCAGTAGATTTCTCGTGGAGTCTTTAGGGTTTTCTATGTATAGTATCATATCATCTGCAAACAGGGACAGTTTCACTTCTTTGTTACCAATTTGGATGCCCTTTATTTCTTTTTCTTGCCTTATTGCTCTAGCTAGAACTTCCAGCACGTTAAATAGGAGTGGTGATAAAGGGCATCCTTGTCTTGTTTCTGTTTTCAAGGGGAATGTTTTCAGCCTCTCTCCATTAAGAATGACGTTGCCGTTGTTTTTGCATAGATACCCTTTATTATGTTGAGAAATTTCCCTTCTATACCTATTTCATTGAGAGTTTTTATCAGGAATGGGTGTTGGACTTTGTCAAATGCCTTTTCTGCATTAATTGATACGATCATGTGATTCTTTTCTTTCCTTTTATTTATGTGGTGGATTACGTTGATTGATCTTCTAATGTTGAACCATCCTTGCATACCTGATATGAATCCTACTTGGTCGTGGTGTATTATTTTTTTGCATATCAAAGATTCTTAAAGTGTTGCTTTGTAATCCTTGCTTTTTATTACTTCAGTTCAATATGTAAAAAAAAAAGTTCATGTGCTTTTTTATATACTGTTGCCATTTTTCTGACAATTTCCTCCCAGGTTTGTTATATTATAGTGAGCTTTACTTCAGTCTTGGGGGGTTGGCTATTACAAGGCATTGTTAACTAGATCCTGTTCTTGCACATGATATTCAGTGGTCCCGTTGGTCACACTGGTAAAAATACAAATGTGACATATTTGGGAAGGCGGATGCTTTTCATCTGTCTGTGCTGATCATTGATTGCTTTGTTGAATAGTGTATAGTCTTAACAGCACAATTCAATAGTATCTTTAAATTTTCTCTTTCCGATTAACCGTAGATTATTTGTATCATTTTCCTACACAGGCTGACATATGACCAAAGTAATCTTCTGAACAGTTAAGAGTTAAATGTATACCTTATTTAAGTGTATAAGAAACCTGGGATGAAATTATAATAAAAATGGCAATCATTATTATTGTACACCTAAATAAATAATTATTACGGTAAATCCTGGGTAATAGATTCTCTGGTTTGTGATGTTACTTTTTAATTTAGTTGTAAGATTTTGCCGGATACTCAAAGGGCAGCTTCAAGATCCCTCTTTAAATCTCTGGGCCTAGCTGTGTAAAAGAAATTGAGTGAAATTGGCTTGCTTCATTCCTTTGATGATGGATAATGGATTAGATAAAGGCCCCCATACTTCCGGCTGTTGATGAATAGCAGCCAAACATACTGAGTAATTGCCTAAGTCCATTTGTGCTAACAGCAGTAGGTGACTTAGTCAAGTCTTTTAATAGAGTTCATGACACTCTTACCTATACTCTCCTAGTTTTTGGCTTATGTAAAATGACCTTCACTGGATAGTGTTATGTTCTAAAGCTATATTTCTGTTCAAAGTGTGTTTTTATTCACTTGTGTTGTCCCAAAGCAAAGGAAGGAGAATTTTGACCAGGATCTTGCCATGAATACAAAGCAGTGGGATGATCCTGTAGCCTTCTTAATGAAAAGGTTGTATAGTCATTTATATTCTATTTCCCTACCTTGATTAATTAAAGATTTCAGCAGACAAACCATTTACATTGTAAATTTGACATATGATTTCTCCACAAGTTGGGATCAAGGTCATATTGTTGCATAATGACAAATACGCTGTCTTTTAGAGTTTTGTTCTCACCCAACAATGGGAATGTTGAAGTGTTATTCTGTCTCTGTGTAATAAGGCTGGTACCTTAACTTCTCCTCATAGGCACTGGGACTGTAAAAAGAAGCCCAGAGATGAATGAACTTTTAATATTCATCTTTTAAAGAAAGGGAAAAGTATATTAATAGAAAACAACTGAAAAGTAAATGTATCAGAGATGGGGAATGTGTGACATACAAGAAGGGTTCTGTCATGGATTGAACTGTGTCCCTCCAAAAATGTATGTAGCAGCTTGGCTGGGTCATGATTCCCAGTATTGTATGATTGTGTTATCTGATGTGATTTCCTTATGGGTTGTAAACTCTACCACTATGATGAGATTATATGTGATCTCCTCATGTGTTATAAATTCTATCACTGTGATGAGGTTATACTGATTAGGCTGACAAGATTAGTGTCTTAATGCAATCTCTTTTGAGATATAAAAGAGAGAAGCGAGCAGAGACACATGGGAACCTCATACCACCAAGAAAGCAGTGCTGGGAGCAGAGCGTGTCCTTTGGACCTGAGGTTCCTGCGCAGAGAAGCTCCCAGACCAAAGGAAGATTGATGATACGGACCTTCCTCCAGTGCCAATGGAGAAAGCGTTCCCCTGGAGCTGATGCCCTGAATTTGCACTTGTAGCCTACTGGACTGTGAGAGAATAAACTTCTCTTTGTAAAGCCATCCACTTGTGTTATTTCTGTTGGGGCAGCACTAGATGACTGAGACGGGTTCCTAACATTTTATCTCTCTTTTCTTTGATGTTAAACTTATAATATACAGGTTATGAGGTGGCTAATGCTAGTAAAAATAAAAGCTTAAATAATTAAAAAAAAAACTACCTCTTTGATTCCATTGTAAAGTCATATCCTTCACATTTTTAGAATAATTCACTTTTTGTGTTTGCTGCAATTAGATGTAGTTTCTACTCCCTGGAATGTAGAGCCTGGAGGTGATCAGCTGAGAACCATGACCTACACTATCGTCCTTAATAATCCACTGACTGGAAAATGCACTGCTGCCACTGAAAAGCAGGTATGTCTGCTCTGTCAGTATTCCACAAGAGTCCTGCATGTGGGAGGAAAGAAGATAATGACCCGTCCGAGTTACAGGCATAGCCATTGAACAGTCTGTGAAACAGTCTGATTCTCTGAATTTTAAACCTTACATGGAGCCTGTTTTATTTATTTATTTTTATTACATGGTTGCTTCCACTTTAAGGCAAAATCTTTTGAGCACAGTGGCAGACTGAACACAGCCTATTAAAGGGCCCAAGGCTATAATACTTAACTTCATTCATAGTAAGAAAATAAGAAAGAGAAAGGGGGAAGGGAATTAAGGGAAGAAAGAAAACACATACTCTAAGATGCCTTTTCTCACCAGCAGACTGGCAAACATCCAAGTGGTTGACAACCCCTTCTGTGGGGAATAGGCACTCTCATACATTTCTGGTGTAGGATAGAAAAAACACTACAATCCCAACAGAGAGAAATTTACATATGGATTTACCCTTTGATCCAGCAATAGTACTTCTAGGAATCTAGATCAAAGATGTGCTTGATAACACGTGAAATGATATATGTATAATCTGTTCATGCAGCACTATTTAAATAGCAAAAATCTAGAAACAACCTAAATGTCCATCTATAGAGAACTAAATGAAAGAATCATGGTACATCCATATAGTGGAATACTAGGCAGCCATCAAAAGGAATGAGGGTGATTTCTATATACTGCTATGGAGTGATCTCCAGGATATATTGTTAAATGAAAAAACAAAGTACAGAATGGTGTGACAGTATGTTTAGTATGCTACCTTTTATCTAAGAAGAGAGTACATATATGGACACACACACAGAGAGTGGAAAGAAAACCAAAATAATAAAAATGGCTATCTGTAGGGGGCTGGAAGGGACAAGGCTGGAAGCTAGACCTCTATGAATGCACCTTGTTTTATAACTTTGACACCAGGGGAATGTTTTGCATAATTATAAAACAAAATTAAATCTAAATTTTAAAAAGGACCAGTCCTAAAAATGAAAGCAGAAGGGAACAAACAAACCTAACTGGATATTATGTTATTGGCTTAGCCACACAGAGGAGAATGTTTCAATGAACTTTAAAATGAGGACTTCGACTATACATCTTTTGGGGGATATAGTCTAAAAATGGGAAGAAACTTGCAAAGAAATCATAAACTGTTTTAAGTAACTGTACCATCATGTATATACATAGATAAGTGATTAAGCAATAAATACATCAATGCCATTAAAAGCCAATATTTTCAGTGTAAGAGAAAAATGGACAGATATCCAAGACATTAAACACCTTGTAAACTTAAATTTTAATTGGACACATCGGTATGAACTCATGATGTATTCTTCTCTTAAAATCTATTCTGCAACCTTTGGAAAGACTTAGCATGTAGCAGTGTAAAAAGTGAGCACTCTAGCTTCCAGACTTTAGTCTCTATGTATTATTTCCCGCCAAAGGGACCAAGAGTGCTTTAGAGAAATAGCTGATTTGACATCTGAGGCAAGGAGTGTATTAGATGAATCTGGATAATTTGTCACACCAGAGAAAGCTATCAGAATTGCTTGGAGTCTTGTCAAAAGATGTTTAAGAGCCAACATTGAGGGGGATCCCACTAGCTAAAGACAGGAGAGTTTGAACATAAAAAGAAGTAACGACTGCAATGGGTTAAAACACATCAAACATGAAAAATTCCTGAGTTAATAACTTCTTCCGAAAAAATAAAATAAAATGTACTTGTTGGTCATCTTTTCATTATTCTGAAAAGTGGTAAATTACAAGAATCGGGATGTTTGCCTTTTCTATATAAACTGTATTTCGGAGTAACTAAGCAGATCATGATGTCTTTATGGAAGAATTCCAGCTAGTAAGTAAAGAGGGATAGGATAGGACAGGACAGGACAGGACATAATATAATTATAACCTTTAATGAAATAATGGAGCAATGCAATGATCTTCAATGGCTAATAAAACTATTAGATGAAAGGCTGATGAGAAATTTTATTTTGAATGGCTCAGACTCACAAAACCTAATCAATCCTAACATCAACAAAGAGAGACACCTAGATGTTATGTGCCTTCTGTTATATATTTGGAACTAGATAGCAGCTCCTATGATAATTCTTGCCAAATATCAAACCTGGTAATTGGTAATTAAGCCTCCAGCTTACCAATATGCCAGGTATGTAGGGGCTGGAGGGTTGTGTTAATGACACAACAGGACATAATCAACAGGATATCATTCGTCTATAAGACAAAGTCAACAAATAAATGGCAAAAAAAAAAAAAAAAGAAGTTGT